ATCCACTTTACCAACTAGAGTTTGGTCTTTCCTTAGATATACCGAAATAGAGACCACTGGAGAAGAAGGGATTTATTTATTGAGCATCTACTATATGCTGACTTCATCAGCGTATTGAATGCCCACCAAAATCTTGCAAGAGAAGCTGACCATTACCATTTTACAGAAGAGAGAACTGAGACTCACAAATGATAATTTTACTGACGGGACTAAGTTTGGAGCAAAGCTAATTCTGTAGTGTTATCCCCCTTTCCTTTCTGCCATTTTGTCTCTTCAGTGTGTGGCATCTATGTGTCTTAAATCCACCCTGAAAGGTAGCACAGTATAGATTTAGGATTTGGAACCTGATACCTCTGCATCTATTTTTTAATCCCTACATATTGATAGCTGTGTCACCAGGGCAATTTATTTTACTTTTTCCTGAGTTTTTGCTATCTTGTGTATAAAATGGTGATTTTTTTGGTACTACTACTAGGACTGTGTGTGGCGAGGTTCTGTGAGGTAATAAATGTAAAGTTCTTACCACTGTCAGCACATAGTTAATATTACAGTTCTTCTCTCTCCCCCCTAATTCTCTTTCTCCCACCCTCTTTCCTCTTCCTCTTTCCCGTCTCCATCTCCTCGCCTTCCTTCCTCTCTCCCTCCTCTCCACCTCCCATATATATACCCTTCTCTTTCTTTCCCAACACCTTACCCCACACCACTTCCTCCTCTCTCATTTTTCTTCACGAACCACCTTTCCACTTCTTATTCTTTTCATTTATGAAGCTAGCTAGCATCCTTGAATATGAGAAATAGCTAAGAGGCACGTTCCTGGGAAGATTAAGTGTGGCTGATGTTGAGCAGAAAGGAGTGATGGTGGTACAAGGAACAAATAATGACTGCCTGAAACAGACCTACATCCACTGAAAGTATCAATGATATGACTCAAGTTAAGGCAAGTGACAAGGATATCTTAGTTCTTGTGCTAGAATGAGGTTATAATTAATGAACAAATATGGCTTCTTGGGGATACGAATGCGTCAGGGTCTCATGCATTTTCCAAGGCAAAATGACAAAAAGGAAGGGGGGTGGATAACACTACAGAATTAGCTTTCCAGTTTTGCATATTCTGTCTTTATCTTACTCATCTAGTGCTGCTATAACAGAAATACAACAAATGGATGGCTTTAACAAAGAGAAATTTATTCTCTCGTCTAGGAGGCTAGAAGTCTGAATTCAGAGTGCCAGCTCCAGAGGAAGGCTTTCTCTCTCTGTCGACTCTTGGAGAAGGTCCTTGTCATCAATCTTCCCCTGGTCGAGGAGCTTCACAGCGCAGGGACCCTGGGTCCAAAGGACTCGCTATTCTCTGGCTCGTTTCTTGGTGGTATGAAGTCCCCATGTCTCTCTGCTCACTTCTCTCTTTTATATATCAAAAGGGATTGACTTAAGACACAACCTAATCTTGTACATTGAGTCCTGCCTCATTAAGATAACTGCCGCTAATCCCACCTCATTAACATCATAGAGGTAGGATTTACAACACATGGGAGAATCGTATCAGATGACAAAATGGTGGGCAATCACACAATACTGGGCATCATGGCCTAGCCAAGCTGATACACATTTTTGGGGGATATAATTCAATCCATAACATCATGTAAACTGAGATAATAGTTCTAAAGGCCCAACTTCTGATTTGAAAGACCTGGAATTTTTGAGTTTCAGTCTAAGAATGGGCTTATGGGGTGACTGTTGTAATAAATAGAGTTGAGAAGAATGTGTGATAGTGCCTGTGTCTCTGGGCAGAGTTAACTCTGGGGAAAGCAGGATGATAAATTCTAGGGTCTGAGCCCCACCTCTCACCTAATAAATACCCTGGAAGAGAGCAAGTCCCTATGAAATTACCTTTTCTCTGGAGCTTGGGGGAGTTTCATCAGCTGTACATATGCCTAAAAGAAAAAATCCAAACCTAAACCTGTTTCTGTAGAGTTGATTCTGACTCATGGTGACCCCATCTGTTACAGAGGACTGTGCTCCATAGAGTTTTCTTGGCTGTAATCTTTATAGAAGCAGATCACCACGCTTTTCTTCCATGGTGCCACTGGGTGGGTTTGAACCACCTTTAGGTTAGTAGACGAGAGCAAAACATTTGCACCACCCATGGATGCCTAGACAGCCTAAATTCCTGAAGCACCCCAAGGGGACTCAAGAGCACCTGGAAGAGGTTAAAAGGGACAGTAGAGCTAAGAGGACCTGTGTGGATGCCTCTCCATGCCCAGAAAGGGTTGGAGGTTTCCCAGTAGATGCCAGCAGGAATGGAAGCTGGGCACCAAGGTCAGAACTTGGACATCAGCAGCAGACAGCATCATGAGAGACAAAAACTAGACAGTTACCTGGTCCCACCAGCACCATAGCAACAGGCCTGGATGAGGAGAGTGGAAGGGGAAAGTCCTGAATTAACTGATTTTAAACTTAACATGACTAAGAAAACCTCTGATGTGACTAAGTTTATTCAAACTGGTTAATTTTCTATCTACCACTAGGTAGGATAGGGTATTATTATAAACAAAATTATTATAAAAAGGAAGCTTTTTGTTTGCACATTTGAGTTTGTGGCCTGAGAAATTTGTATGTGTTGCATAAAGTTCTTTGACATATGATGGATACAATTTTATTTTTTCCCATACAAAAATTTATACATACATTGTTATGCGACTGTAATTGCTCTCCCCATACTGTGACAGCACACTCTTCCTTTCCACCTGATTCCCCATGTCCATTCAACCAGTTCCTGACCCTCTGCCTTCCCATCTCACCTCCGGACAGAAGCTGCCCGTTTAGTCTCTTGTATCTACTTGAGCTAAGAGGCACACTCCTCAGGAGTATCACTTTATGTCCCACAGTCCAGTCCAATCCCTGTCTGAAGAGTTGGCCTCAGAAATTGTTTTAGTTCTGGGCTGATGGAGAATCCAGGGGCCATGCTTTCTGGGGTTCCTCCAGTCTCAGTCAGACCATTAATTCTGGTCTTCTTCCTAGAATTTGAGTTCTGCACCCCACCTTTCTCCTGCTCCATCCAGGACTCTGTTATGTTCCCTGTCAGGACGGTCATTGGTGGTAGCCGGAAACCATCTAGTTCTCCTTTGGTCCAGGTGGTTGGGACCAATTGACGCATCTTAGATGGCCGCCTGCAAGCTGTTAAGACCCCAGACACCACTCACCAAAGTAGGAGCGGAACATTTTCTTAATAAGCTTTGATATGCCAGTTGACCTAGATGTCCCCTTAAAGCATAGTCCCCACACCCCTACCCCTGCTACTCTGTCCCTCAAAGTGTTTGATTGTATTCAGGAAACTTCTTAGCTTTGGTTTAGTCCAGTTGTGCTGACTTCCCCTGTAGTGTGTGCTGTCCTTCCCTTCACCTCTTATCTACTATCTAGTTAGTAAATAACCTTCACCCTCCTTCTGCACCCTCGTAACCATTAAAGGATGTTTTCTTCTGTGTTTAAACCTTTTCTTGAGTTCTTATAACAGTGGTCTTATACAATGATGGATATAATTTTAAAAATAACAATACAAGGCACAGACTGAAAATTTTGAAAATTATGTTCTTCGATTCATTCGAAGAATCTCTCTAGCAACTGTTTTCAGTGCCATTAGAAAGCTAGCATCCTATGACAAACACCTCTTTTTTTTTTTAACCCCAAATAGTATTTTACAGCCGTGGCTCTGAACGCTTATTTCCAGAACTATTAAATGAAAATTTAATTTTCTTTGTGCTTTCTCTCCCTCTTCAGGGAGATTCAGTAAATTGATACAATGGGAGGCCTAAGGACAAAGATAAGGAATTAGCTGGAGTGGAGAAGTGACTGCCAGAGAGTTGGATGGAGCCAGGTAACTTTCTAGGAAGAACTTAGCAGAAATGAAAAAAACAAAAAACCAGTTGTGTTGAGTTGATTCTGACTCATGTGATCTCTTGTGTGCTCAGTACAGCTGTGCTCCATAAGGTTTTCAAGTCATACTATGGCCAAATTCCCCCAGTCCTTTGTGAGAGGGGGACAATAGTTTGCATTAAGTCCCCCTAGTGCAGTTTTATTGTATGCCAATTAATCCTTTATAAAGCTGTTTTTTTTTACAACTTTGTCCCCCCTCTCGCCCCATCTTTATTTTGCTCTATATACCTTCTACATCATTTAAGTCTCTTGTAAGGTAGATTTTATGCATTCTTCAGTAATAATAAATAAATAAATAAAAACCCAAACCCGTTGCTGTCCAGTCGATTTCCAACTCACAGCGACCCTATATGACACAGTAGAACTGCCCCATAGGGTATCCAAGGACCATTTGGTTAGCAGCCTAGCTCTTAACCACTGGGCCATCAGGGCTCCAAATAAATAAGCATGAGAACTTCCCCCCACCAAAAATCTCACCCCTAATAGTTCCAGGCCCCCATTCATTATACCCTACTGAGCCCTGTCTCCCTCCCAAGTCCCTCTGCCCACTGAGAAGGTCTTAAGTAGCACAGAAGGGAAGAAAATGATGTAAAGTGGCCAAGGGAGATGGGGCCCATTACAATCAGAGAATTTGGAGTCTGATTCTTCTCATTTTGCCATGCGTCTAGGGAAATATTAAAGGCCTCTAAGAGCTGACTTCAGCGAGTGCTCTGGAGGAGGCTAACACTAGTCTTTGTCCAGCCAGCAAGAGAAGTCAGCATATTAAAGTGAGAGGAAAACCAGACTTTAGGCCAGAATATTTAAGTTCTGGTCTTGGCTCTGCCCAGAGCCATGCGAATGTGAGAAACTCACTGAAAGTCTCCCAGAGCTCAGTTTCTCTTTCCGAAACATGTACGGATTGGAGAAAATGAATCGTAAGCTCCCTCTCAGGACTAAAATTCTATGTCTAGTCTTGGGGATCCCATGTATACCGCATACACAAATCACAGCAGAAATTTTATTAGAAATGTCAAATACATTCACGGGATCTCTCTCTGTTCACCCTCAAATCTCTGCCTGCTCCTCAACTCACTGATGACCAGCAGTCAGAAGACTCCCAGTCAAAAGGGGGTGCCCTGAGACCCAGGACCAGAGTGGACAAGTGGTTGCAGCAGCAACAGCAGCAGTAGCTCTAACCCCCAAACTGATATAGGAAGGCTGGTGGCCCCACTTTCAAGCTTTCGGGGTTGAGTGAGAGACTGGTGTGGACACACTTCCTTCACCTCCATGACTCCAACAGAAAAGACCCCAGACATCAGCTTGCAACCAGTTATGGCTGTACAGCCTTTGACCTCCACAAGTGTGTTGATGTCTCCTATGAAACAAGGAAGAGGGTGGGGGCAGACAGAGAGATGTTTCAGGAAATCAGAGAGGAATACAGTCCTCCCTCCCCACTGGAACCCTGAGTATCAGAACCTCCTAGGACACAGTCAGATGTCTGGTTTTCCAGCCTCTGAAACTATCAGATGTTCACTTTACCTCCAGTGATATAAAGTTTTCCTTGATAGCATCGAGTTGTACCACTGGGACAGGGAAGAGAGGGGGCACTGAAACAGGTCCCCAAAGCCACACAGGTGGGGCAAGAGAGGCTTGTTGACACACTGGGAGCTGGAAGGGAAAAAGAGAGACAGTCAAAGACATGTCCTGCCTCTTGAGATGTCTCTCCTTGCTGCCTTCTCTTCCCCAAGTCTTTGCTGCTGACACTACTCTGATCAAGGCCCATTACTGCAACTTCTCCGCCCTTCTCCAGCTGATTTTCTTGCTTTAAGAACCCCATCCAACACGGCTTCCAAACTGTGCTTAGCTAAGGAGATTCAGAGATGAAAAGATACAACTCCTGCCATGTAGGATCCCTGTCTAGAAGGAGAGACGTGTAAATTATTACAGTACAATTCAGTAGGTACTGTGTTAGAAGTACAACAGCAGAGGAATGGAGGAGTAACTAACTGTAACTAGAAGAATTTGGTTAAGTATTTTCACAGAGTTGATACTTGAGCTGAGAAGGAGGAAGAGTAGTTGGAAGGAGGCAAAGGAAATAACAAGGGCAAAGGCCTGGAGGTGGGAACAAGCTTGGTGGATTTGGTGAATGGTGAGAAGTTGCAGGGTTGATATTCAGTTGGCAGGCACAGGTATGGCTGAACTGGATTTTATGGCCAGCATCCATTCTGACTGGCCAGTACCATCTCCATTGGTAAGTATTTTGAATATCAGCCCCAGCTAGAACACAATGAATGAGAGAGAAGACCAGGAAGCAAGGGAAATGAAACTGAAAAGCTAGGCAGGGCACAGATTACTACAGGCCTTAGGCCAAATTGGGGAGTTTGGCTGGTGTTATATAGTAATGGGGAACCAGTAATTGTTAGAGAGACCTTGCCACCACCCTGCTCAGAAACCTACACTGCATCTTATTGCCTACTAAATACAAAACCCAATTTATACCCTAGCTACCACTGATGTCATCTGCTCTGTGCAGTGTTTAGACCCCAACTGTTTAGACAGCAATTCAAAAAAGAAAGACAAGCAACTGGACTGTGAGATCCTTTTGTGTACAGCTCACTTGGGCCTAAGCCAAGAAAGAACACAAAGAAGGACGATATACAATCTTTTCAGTTTCTTCTGGAGTTTCTCTTAACATCCATCTCCCTCCTTCCAGGGTACCTGGGCTCAGGTGTGGCATCCAAATCGAAGACATGCTATCTTTGTTGTTGCAAAGGGGCTCCTCACAGTAGTTACTGAAGGAGACTGACATCAAGCCAGGGGCTGGGGTGTGTTGGATAAGAGTCATCTCTGGCATCCCTGCAGGGATGCAGCCCTTAGTAGCCACAAAGGCATACTCAGCTCCTGCTAGGAGACAGGAGGGAGGGAGAGTGGATGGTGGGCTTAATGTTTGCGCCGGTGAAGGAGGAAAAGCCTTTGACATGGACATAATTACCCTTCCTCCCACCCCACTCAACTGCCCTTTGTCACTATACCTGCTGTAATCATCAGAATACTTTCCTGGCAAAATGTCCCATTGTCACAAGTCTCAACTTTCTCTGAGGTCCAGTTAAATGTATTGAGTGGATCCGCTTCTATACTCACGTATATACCTTTGTGACAACGCACATGTTGGGCCACTGGGAAGAAAACAAGATAAAGATTAGCGCTTGCCCTTCTCTGTGGGGCCAAAGTCATTCCCTTTTCACCAGAGGTGTATCTAAGGTATGGCAGGTATGGCACATGCCCTGGGTGCCACTTGAAGGGGGGCACCACTGAGCAGTTTCTATTAACTCAATAAAGCCCAATGTCCTTCCTCAAGCACGGTAGACAGAGACGTAGCGGGGGGAGAGGGGTGGGGGAAGTGAGGGGGGCATTTGTCTCTGGGAGCAAGTCCAAGGGGGCACCAGATGAAGTGTGGAATGACATTCTGAGGTGCCACAATATGAAAGGCAACTGACTGAGGAAGACAGACAAGAATGGGGAGGGTGTTTCTGCTGACATGTTGCCGCTGTCAGCATCTATTCACTTTGAAATTGGGGTGGAGGGTACAACTTAGGGATTAACCCTGAGCACTCGTTACCCTCTGCTTTTCTCTGTAAACCCCCTCTGTGACCCAGTTGCCTTCCTCCCACCTTTCCCATACATACAAGACAGCGAAGCAGTTCCTAAGAGAAAGAGGAACAGCAAACCGTGGATATGACAGGTTCCCATGACTTCTTTCAGAGAGGCTGGGAGAAGCTGATTAGCATCTGTGATTTGATGGAGAAGAAGAAACTTTTAAACCAGATAGAATGATATTAAATCTCTGCTCTGGCCAAGTACTGACTTTAGGGTAGAGTTTATGGTCTTTGAAGTCCCTGGGTAGAAATGGTTACTGTGCTCGGCTGCTAATCAAAAGGCTGATGATTGAGTCCGCCCAGAGACACTTTGGAGGAAAGGCCTGGCGATCTATTTCCAAAAAATCAGCCATTGAAAGCGTTATGGAGCACAGTTCTACCCTGAAGCACATGGAAGCGCCATAAGTCAGAGTCAATTCAATGGCAAGTGGTTTGGTTTTAGTTTTATTGTATATAAGACTGTGACCTCTCAGGTAAGTGTATTCCTAACTATCTTGTGACTTTGAGCAAATTAACAAATTTATTGTATCTCAGTTTCCATATTGTAATTCTCAGACCCAGGAGCCTGGGCACCCAGCCACCTATTCCATCAGGACCAAGGAGTTCCTCAACTCACTACCCTCCAACCTCAGGATCCAGGAGTCTGGGCCCAAGGTCCCTTCTCCCTGAGACTCAGGAGTCCAGGTTCAAGCCTATTCTCCCTCAAGACCTTGGTATCTCAGATCACAGTTCCTACCTCCATCGGAACCCAGCATTCTGAGACCCCAGCCCTGTCCTACCTAGGGATCCGGGGATTTGTGTCTCAGCCACCTTTTCCCCTTTTTCTAAAAGACGCATGATTCTGGGCCCTCAGCCCTTTCCTCCCTCAGACCCAGGAGTCCGGGCTCCCAGCTCCCTCCTCCCTCAGACCCAAGAGTCCCGGCCCCCAGCCCCCTCCTCCCTCAGACCCAGGAGTCCCAGCCCGCAGGCCTCTCCTCCCTCAGACCCAGGAGTCCCAGCCCGCAGGCCTCTCCTCCCTCAGACCCAGGAGTCTGAGTTTTGTCCCCTGGGGCTCTTTCTCTTTAAGAGACCAACATTCCTTCAGGCTTCTGACCTGACTAGCAGAATCTCACGGTCCTGAAGGTGCAGCCACGGGCGCCCTCTCGCGTAACCCTGTCCTCTCTTAAAATCTCGCAGAGGCACGAAAGGCGGGGCCAGACTCGGCTTCACAGGTCCCTCGAAGCCCCATTGGTCGACGTGAAGGCATCGAATGAGTTCATTGGATGAGCCTGGAATGCCAGACCCCATTGGCCCAGAGAAGTCTACTCCTGGCAACATCGAGAAGCACGCATGCGCGAAACGGGGACTTGCCGGATTGGGAAGCTGGCCGCAGAGTGCGTTTCTCTTTGCAGCCCCGGGCATGCAATGCAGAGCAGGCAGCGCACCCCAGATGACCTGGCTTCACCTTTTTCTTTCTTTGGACTATGGGGGTTTCCGCTTTTTCAGCTACATAAGGAGGTCAAACCTCTAGCGCTCACCCGTTAAACTTACCTTCCTACCCAAATAGTGTCTTGTGTTCTCAGGCTGGCACCTGCCCCAGCACCCACCCAGTGGCTTCAGCTGTTGGGAGCCAACATGGCCTCCTTAGTCTTCACTTGTAGTGGCCCCTTCCTCAGCCCAGGCCTCATCCTCTGGTCATGTCATTGCACCAGCCTCTTCCATGGTCTCCTGGAAGGCTGAAAATATGGATGTTCACTTCAGCTCACTTCCAGCACCCCGGATGTATTTATGAGCAGTAATACAGGTTGCCATTACATCTAAACAGCATGTCTGTGTCAGTACCATAGACAAGACGTGTCGTTCAGATTTGTTGTTCATGGCTAAAAGTTACATGTAACCTTTCCAGTTGTCCTTTCAGAATCGGTATTCTTTCTGTGAGTTAAGCAACAAAAGAATATTATTCCTTTTAAGAAGCGACAATACAAATATTTTATTGTTATTCTTTTCATTTGACAGTTGTAATAGAAGCAAAAGTTTTCAAATAACTAAAAATGAATGCTATTTAATTTAATACATTTTAGATTACCTAAGATATTATATTCTAAACTGGCTTTACAGGGTATAAATTGACAACAAGTATCTTATAATGGGAACCTGGGTGGCACAAGAGGTTTGTGGTTGGCTGCTAACTGAAAGGTTGGCTGTCTGAACCCACCCAGCAGCTCCGGGGAAGAAAGGCCTAGTGAACTGCCTCTGTGAAGTCTACAGCGCAGAAAACCCTGTGGAGCAGTTCTGCTCTGTAACACATGAATATGCCATGAATTAAGGGCTGACTCAATGGCAGCTAACGACTACAACAACATCTTATAATAGAGTCATCTATATTATTTCAAATAGTGTTCGACAGTTGAATTTTTTTTGTTTTTTTATTTCTCTTGCACATTTATTTTTAATAGAGAAAACGCCATGAGGAGAAGGGTGACAGTAACAGCTCTTAACTTTATGTAAAAATATATTATGAACTTTCAAATGGCTAAAAAACTAGGGACAATTAATACAAATACTAAGAGATAGCAACTTAGGTAGATTACTTTTGGAAGAATATTATGTTCTTTTAAGAGGTCTGCAACAATATTTTTAAAAACCAAATAATCTGAGATAAAGAGGTCTCTGTTATGCTGGTAGTGTCAGCGGTAGCGAGTCTGGCTGGCAAGATTCCAGAAACTTTGGCAGTTCTCAGAATAATTGAAGGGACTGTCTTGATTGGTGCAGTTTAACAAGGAGCAGACTAATGGGGCAGGCAGTCTTTAAAGTTGATTATGATTTTGATTAGAGGGTCAGTGAGAAAGAGGAAGACCCTCCACGAGATAATTGGCACAGTGGCTGCAACAATGGACTCAAACAGACAATGATTGTGAGGATGGTGCAGGACCGGGCAGTGTTTCATTCTGTTGTACAGAGGGTCGCTGTGAATCAGAACCGACTCGACAGCACCTAACAACCACAACATGACTTTGATCCCACCTCCAGGAGCAAAATTAGAGAAAAGATGGGAAATTCACCTCAAATACTGGGTGCCTGATGTCTGGCCCCCCATTCCCTTCATGGCTCAGGAACTTATGGGTCCCTATCTCCAGAATCCTCCTTCTTCAGACCCAGAAGTCCTGGCTCCCAGACCCTTTGTCCCTTAGGATCCAGGAGTCTGAGCCACCTCTCCTTCTTTTCAGGACTCAGGCCTCCAGCACTCACCTCCCTCAATCTGTGTGTATCCACTATAACATCATGTGATTTTTCTGGATACTGACTAACTAGAGGGGCTGGGCAGGGTCCTGGTTCTTAACCATAATTGCCAATGCAGGACTAGTGGGTTGGAGGGAATTGGTGGGCAGAGAGGGTGGCTGGGAGCTGCTTTGAGGCTCCAATCTCTTGTCTCTGGTCCCTCCTCTCTCCCCATCTCTTTGGCTAGCACTTGCCCTGCCCCTTTATGTCCTGGCCCCACAGTTGGCTTCTGGCATCTTCGAGAGAAGGCATCATAATTGAATCTTGGCCTGCTAGAGAAGTTTGCATTGTAGATGAAGTACTGAGGGCTGAATAGCACTCTAGGAGCATCTGAGTGCCATTTGATCATTTCTTCTGTCTTGTCTTCATTTCCGAGGCAGCCTTTACTTCCAAAGGAGGTTGACAGTTGCTGGGAGGGAGTTAAGATTTGAGACTGAAGGGTATCTTAGTTACCTATTGCTACTGTAACATGAATACCACAAATAGGTGGCTTTAAATAATAGAAATTTATTCTCTCATGGTTCTGGAGGCTAGAACTCCCAATCAGGGTCTCAGCCATGTTGATTCCTTCCTTTTCAGTAGCCCCGGGTATTCCTTTGTTCCTTGGCTTACAGATGATCCTTACATGGCCTCTGTCTTCCCCTGTTTGTGCTTGTGTGTTTTTGTGTCTATGCTGCTCTTTATATAACTCAGAAGTGATCAGGTTTTGGATCCACCCTACGCTGATATGACGTTGGTGGATTGGTTATATTACATTAGAATGCATTATAGAAGGTGACTACATTAGACTAAATTAGCTTACATTCACAGGTGTAGAGGTTAGGATTCCAGCACAATTTTTTGGGGAACACAATTCAATCCATAACAAAGGGATATCCCTGGAGTGAGTCAGGGGCCAGAAGGCTAGACTTGTTGTTAGGTGCTGCTGGGTCGATTCTGACTCATAGCAACCCTATGTACAACAGAATGAAACACTGTCATCCTTACGATTGTTATTATGCTTGAGTCTATTGTTGCAGCCACTGTGTCAATCCATCTCGTTGAGGGTCTTCCTCGTTTTTGTTGACCCTCCACCTGACCAAGCATGATGTCCTTCTCCAGGGACTGGTCCCTCTTGATAACATCTCCAAAGTATGTGAGATGAAGTCTTGCCGTCCTTGCTTCTAATGAGCATTCTGGTTGTACTTCTTCTAAGACAGACTTGTTAGTTCTTCTGGCAGTTCGTGGTATATTCAATGTTCGTTGTCAACACCATAATTCAA